TGGTGCATTCTTAGGCACGCCCTGCCCTAGGCACTCTTGCTGGTTCAGGAGTACCAACCTGCTGTCCCAAAGAGCCGATTAGCACAATAGCTAAGACACTGCCCCAGGGGCCAGACAGAATGTCTGGAGATGAGGTTCAAATCCCGGCTCTGCCACTGACCCTGGCAAGTTACTTAAACGCTCTGTGCCTCAGTTTCCTCATCGGAAAAATGGAGGTGATGATAGCGCCTACCCCATGGAATTGGCGTAGGAGGAAATGAGAACCCAGTGCACAGGAGGCCCAGAGTTCACCTGCAGTATTATGGGTATTAACAGGTACAGAGCCTTCATGACCTGAGCCTCATCTCTCTGAACCACCTGGCCCCCCCCATCCCTCCCCTCAGCTAATACGCCCAGAGCCCTTCCAGGGTTGGGCCTCACCTGGGACCCCCAGGTCTCCAGGTCACCCATGAAAGGAAGATCTCAGGCCAGGCTTCCTCTTTGGGTCTGAAAACCAGTCCCCTAGACCACCATCTCCTCTAACCTGGGGTGTTCCAGGCAGTCCCCAAGGGGCCTGCTCATTAGAAATGACGATCCCAAGGTGAGGAGGAAAGAGGAGAATGGAAACACAAATGGGGAGACTCAGGGAGGCAGAGCTCAAACCTCACTTGAGGCTGGAGGGCCCCAGAGAAGCCCAGGGCAGAGGGAACCAGGTGTGCTCATCCCAGCCAGGAAGGGGCCCAAGGCACCCCTTGGTGGCCCCCCTGTGAGAACAGGCAAGCCTCAGACACAGCCTCAGGCACCCCAGCCTCTGTGGCGGCCCCTCCTCCCTGGCCCACTCCTGGCCTGACCTTTCACCATCCCCCTGCTCTCTCTTCCTCCTCCAGAAAATCACCCCAAAAGGCCTACGTCCCTTCCTTACTCCCAAGCCAAGTAGACAAGGCAGCATTTTGCACAGCCCACATCGTTCGAGGGCCTCCAAGCCTGTTTCAGGTGGGGCAGGCTCAGCAGGGAGGAAGACCAGCTCTTCCCTCATGGAACTTATCCTCCAGCGCAGGCAAAAAGCCAAGAAGCAAATATAATAAATATCACCGCGTTAGGTGGTGACAACAGTTCAGAGGAAACTCAGGCAGCATAAGAGGGACAGGGTGAAGGGTGGTGGAGAGTCACGGGAAGGTGGTGTATACATACCCCAGCTCCCTCGCCCTCCTGGGCTGAGTCAAAGGTGTGTTCAAAACCCCTCCCAGTGGGAGTGAGGTGAATTGCCCGCAGTGGTAACTTGCTTGGTAAGGCATCCTTTTTGGGCTACCTGTCTCCCTGTCTCATTTCCCCACCCTCAGTGTTTCTGTGGGCCACCTCCTAAATGAATCATGTTCTTGTCTCAGGGTTGGCTTCTGGGAGAGCCCAGAGTAAGATGCCACAGATGGGGAGGCAGGGCAGGAGCTTTCTGGGAAGACCGGGCCCCCTCCTCTCTGCTCTGGGACATCCCTTTTCTCAAGACTAGTCAGCACACACTTGGCCCCTCTGCAGGGGTCTGTCTGTCTGTCCTGAGCCCATCACCTCTGTGTCACCTGGAGAGCAGGGACCAGGCTGCCCCCTCTGTGGGCAGCACTCCTGGTGGGAGCGCAGCATGTTTCTGCAACACAGGGAGCTCAGGGATGAGTTCTGACCAGGAAGAAGGGGTCGTGACCCTCCCGCGTCTGTGGCTTGGCGTGGGATACATGCAGCTCGCTCTCTTCCCGGGCCTGGCGAGGCAGAGCTGCTCTGGCTACGGCTGGAGTAGAGAAAAGGAAGGCACGTGGACCCAGTGTAGGCCCAGCGTCCTGTGTGACCCAGTGCCCCTGAGGCAACGGCCCAGGTAGGTGGGCATCACCCTCCCCTATGAGGACAGAATAATAGGCCCCCCACGACAGCACAGACACTGAGCCAGCCCCTGAGGGAGATACTCCTGGCTTTACACTGCAGCCCTGATTCTCAGGGTGCACAGCTGGGCTACAGCAGTGAACAAGACAGAAAACCCCCTCCCTTGTGGAGCTGACATTCTAGGGGGGCTGAGCAGGCAAGAAACGAGATAAATCAGTGGTAATCAAGGGTGTTAGAAGGTGACAAGGGCTGTGAAGGAAAAGCAAGGCAGGGGAGGGGACAGGGAGGGAGAGGAGTGGTGCTCCTTTATGCAGGATGTCAGAGAAGGTCATTCTGAGCAGGTGGCCTTGGAGCAAAGGCCTGAAGGAGGTGGGGAGGAAGCCAGGCAGAGCGCTCAGGCAGCCCCAACAGCCCGTGCAAAGGGCCTGGGGCAGAAGAGCAGCTGCCAGGGTTGAGGAGCAAGGGGGTCATGTGGCCTGCGCAGATGAGGGAAGGGGAGGGGGGAGGCTGGAGAGGTGGGGAGAGGAGGCTGGGGAGGGAAGAGGAGGGGTGAGGCTGGAGAGGTGGGGGAGGAGGCTGGGGAGGGAAGGGGAGGGGTGAGGCTGGAGAGGTTGTGGGGAGGAGGCTGGGGAGGGAAGGGGAGGGGTGAGGCTGGAGAGGTGGGGGAAGGGGGCTGGGGAGGGAAGGGGAGGGGTGGGGCTGGAGAGGTCAGGGGAGGGTGCTGGGGAGGGCCTTGTCGATCAGAGGGAGGCCTTTAGCTTTTTCTCAGAGTGAGATGGGAGCCATTGCAGGGTTTGGGAAGAGGCGGGCTGTGATCTGGCTTCTGTTTTAAAGGTTCTGTGGCCACTGGGGGAAGAGCAGACCGCAGCAGGGCAGAGTGGGCAGAGAAGCTCTAGGAGGCAGCGGCAGTCCCCCAGGTGAGGGAAGATGGGGCCTCAGAATGAGGAGGTAATGTCAGAAGGAGCAGGAAGAGGCTGGAGTCTGGAGATGCTGACATTCCAGCCACCAGAATCTGCCGATGGTCTGGATGTGATGGTGGCATGAGAAGTCAAGGATGGCTCCTGCTGGAGCAGCCGGCAGGCAGAGCTGCTGTCTGCGGAGCTGAGGATACCGAGGGAGGAACGGCGTGGTGGGGGACCGGAGCTCAGCTCTGCAGTCCTGAGATGCCCGTGGACAGCCAGCTGGAGACACCTCCTCACCCCGGCCAGCTCCTGCACGGGGTAGGGGCAGTGAGGAGGGGCCAGCCGGGAACCAGATGTTCCTGTGCCCCAGGCCCCAGCCCCTGCTGAGCTCCAGGCTTCTCAGTGCTCCTGGGGCCTCCCTCAAGCTCCCTTTCACATGAGGAGGTTGGCCGGGGGAGGTCAAGTCCCAATCTGGCTTCCAGGCGGGTGCCCTGGGCCATGGGTGCATGGTGTGCCACAAAGTGAGGCAGGGATGTGTGCCCCAGCAGCCCACCCTGGTGAGTTCACTGCCCCAGAGTCTGGTGGCAAGAATGTGGGAGAAAGACAGGCAGCACCAATCGGACCTGTGAAGCAAAAACCTGATGGGAGGGCCCGGGCCTAGAGGAGGCAGGCCAGGGGCAGGGGCAGGAGGTTGGGGCCAGGCCTGGAGGGCCTGCTGAGCACACAGACGCTCCTTCAGCTCTCACCCAAAGGCCCTGCCCTCCAGGGTTCACCAGCCACTGCTGCAGGGGAGACAGGGCCACTGCTGACCGACAACCGAGGCCAGCAGGCCCAGCTGCAGGAGGTGAGGCAGGGCAGATACCAGCTCCCACCCTGCCGGGGAAGAAGGAGAGTGGCAGGGTTTGGAGGAGCAGGGCAGGCAGTGCCAGTGTGCACATCGAATCTGCATCTGTTTCGGCCACCCCTGAGACCTGCCCTGCTCCCTCCCAGGCCCTTGATCCCAAAGTGGGAGCCCCTGTGTCCAGCACTCTGCAGATGTGCACCTAATGCCTGCAGAAACGAGCAGAGCCATGCCAGCTTCTCAGCGTGTATTCCCCCACCCAACATGCCACCCCTCCTCAGCCCCGGTACCAGGCCCTCTGACCCAAGCGCCCAGGGGAAGGGGACACCCCACACTGTGGTTCAGTGAAAGACCCAGCCGGACTGTCAGGGGACGCAGGAGAGAAGGCAGGGGGAGAAGGAGCGGGACCTTAAGCACACCCATAGTTGACACATCAACCCTCTGTCCCTCTCAGGCTGGCATCTCCTCCCCATGCCACTTAGGGTGGCTCAGCTCCATCTAGAGCAAACCTGGACCAGGTGCCCCCACCCATGCACTCCTGTGGGCCCCCTCCTTGCCCAGAGTGGGGGCTCCTCCCCTGCTCCCCACCCCGCCCCCTCCCGAGCAGCCAGCAGCGGCTTGGCTCCGTCCGCAGTGGCAGTGCCCGAGAGCTTCTCCAGCAGCAGTGAGTCTGTCCCCAGGAGCAATGCAGCAGAGGGATAGAGAGCACAGGAGAGAGGGTCACAGGCACTCCCACCCCATCAAGGGCCTGCTCCCTGGTGCCCCAACTTGGAGACCCTGGGCTTGCTGGGGGTGGCCACGGCTGTGCTTTGGGAGATCTGGGGTGGGGGAGAGTTCACTAGGTCTGCAGCGAGAATGAGGAAGGGGAAGGGCCCGAGCTCGGGGCAGGAGGTATATGCCTCTGACCTGACCTGGGGGCTCTTAGCCCAGTGTCTGAGCCCATCCAGGGCCAGCAGGGAGGCTCTGGCGTCATCGGGGGTGGGAGGTGAGTCTGCTTATCCCAAACGGCCAGAGCCCGGGCAGTGCCTTGAGTGGGGCGGGGGCATTCTCACTCCTCCCTGCCCTCTGCTGCCTACCCTGTCTAGCTTCAGACTGTGGGTCCCTGGAGGCTCCAGCCTCCCTCAACCCACTGCCCCAAGGAGGGACCATGGCTACAAAGTCAGGACCTGTTGGTGGCAGAGACAAGAGGTACAGAGGAGGAAAGGCAACAGGACAGTCCCCTGGTGAGGAGGATCAAGGTTCTGAGGAGGCCTCTCGGGATGCCGGCCGTGCCCCACACCCCACTCCCCAGCCGGGTCCCTGGCCCGGCCCCTCTGGCTGGCCTGTTTGGCTCCTACCAGGTGCAGTTGGTAGAAGGCAGGGCAGCCCGGTTCCCCACTCTCCACACAGCCTCCTCCAGCCATCGAAATGCCTACCTGGGCCCGTGTGGGCACCAAGCTGGGGGCAGGTAGGAGCTTACTGCCCTCGCTGGGCCAGGCCAGGGCCGGAGGGGCTGACTGTCCTCCTTCTCCTCCGTGGTGGCGGGCGGAGAGGGGGCCTGGTGCCGAGCTGGGGTCTGTCCTCTAGGGTTCCCTCCACCGCTCACTCTGGAAGGCAGCAGCGCCAGAACTGCAGGAGCCAGCTCCCCCCACCGCTGCCTCCTCCCCACTCCCCCCTCCCGACCCGCCTCCTTCTCCAGCCACCCACCTCCTTCTCTGGTTTCTATGGCAACTGGGCAATGCTCCGCACAGACAGCCTCCCTCCCATGTACAGCAGGGGACGCCCGCCTCCCGCACGGCGCGCCGCATCCATATGGACACGCACGCACACACTTCACGGGCACGGAGAGGCTGGTGGGCACACCGGCTGGGCTGCCGCCTTCCACTGGGGAGCCCTGCCCCATCCCCTTTCTTCCCTTCTCCCCAGGATCCTGCCTCCCAACTGTCCTTCCAGATAGCTGCACCTTGCTGCTCACTTCCTTCAGGTCCTTAAAATCTGAGTGCCTGGTGCTCTGTGAAGCATTTCTATTTGTTTAATCATTTATCCTCTTGCGTTTTTTCTAGCCAGGATGAGTGTGAGAGATGTTCAGGCACAACCTCGTGCCATGAGACTTCGTACCCATTTTACAGATTGGAAGCTGATGGGCCACAGCAGTAAAAGACTTTGAGCGCCCAAGGTTCCTGGGCTAGCTGTAGGCACTGAGGCCTTGTGATGCCAGTGGCGACACTTCTCCCGCGGGCCATGGCTGCCACACGCCACTCAGGCACACACACGGGTGGTGTCCAGGACGTGTGGATCCCAACAACACACTTAGAGATATAAACGCCCATTACACATATTTGCACACGTGCATTTCCACAAGTCTGTGTACCTTCCTACACACGCACCTATAACACACACAAAACTGTGACACTAATATCAGCATACACACATCTTTAAGACACATGCACACACATCGACATGGATTCAGAACCTGTGACACACAAACCTTTCCTGTACAAACTCACCGCGGCACACACAAGCCCTGATGCTAGCTAGCCCCATGGGCGGGGTTCAGTGATGGCAGTAGAAGTGTCAGGGCCAGGGGTTGCATGATGAGTGGCCTCCCAAAGGAGGATTTGCCTGTCTGCTCCACCCCGCCTGGGGACCAGGCACTAATCTGATCTCAGCAGCGTCTCAGCTCTGCTGCTGAGGCCCATCCTCCCTCACTCTCATTCTGAAAATCCACACTAGATCCCACCTAGGGCCCTCTCAGCCTAGGGGGTTCACACACATCCCTACCCTCCTCCTGGCTGCTGTCCAGTCCCAGGACTTGGGGTTATGACAGGACAGAGGAAAACGATTGTCCCCAAAGAGAAAATTCCAGGCTTCACACAGGCTTCTAGACTCCTGCCAACACCCAGGAGGGACAATGTGGGTGGCAGGTGGCAGGAGACAGGAGTGGGGACTGGGACCCAGGACACACAGCATGCCCCACAGATCATGCTGTTACCAGCCCAGCACCCCTGCAGGGCCTTGGGCAAGCATCACTGCAGCCCTTGTGCCCCTGGGCAATTATCAGGGATCCCACACTCCCCATCGAGGGCAGATACAACAGGAAGGAACCAGAAGCCACCACAAATGAAGCAAAAGGCCCTCTGGCGGGCCGGGGCAGTGGCTCACGCCTGTAATCCCAGCACTTTGGGAGGCCGAGGCAGGTGGATCAGCTGAGCTCAGTTCGAGACCAGTCTGACCAGTATGGTGAAACCCCGTCTCTTTAAAAAAAGAATTTTTTTTAAAAAAAGGCCCTCTGGTAATAATGATAGATCTTCTATATTCATGATTCCCCCTCTCAATCACAAGGCTGCTCCAGTGAAACTCAGACATGCCGTCAATTACACGAATCATCGCAATATTAGAGATGTCAAGTAATAAGAGAAAAATCATCTTGGAATAGAGAAATGGAGCATTTCATCCATTCAACAGGTACTGACTAGGCACCTACCATGTGCCACAAATGGTTCTAGACACTGAGATACAGCTGTTGGCAAAACAGAGTCCCTGCCCTTGAGATGACGAGCTAGTGGGTTCCCGGAAAGCCCGGGCCTGTCTCAGGGGCTGTCCCGCAGTCTTCAGCTGTCACAGGGCATGGTGTCTAGGAAACAGGCTCTGAGAGATGAGCAGCTTGTCCACAGTGACAAAGGCAGCCAGTGGCTGCCTGCAAAGCCTTTTTCAGTGTCTCATGTTGATTCCATTAAGAAAGATCTGGGCCAAGCGTGGTGGCCGAGGGGGGTGGATCACGAGGTCAAGAGATCGAGACCATCCTCGTCCACATGGTGAAACCCCGTCTCTACTAAAAATACAAAAAAAAATTAGCTGGGCATGGTGGCGCGTGCCTGTAATCCCAGCTACTCGGGAGGCGGAGGCAGGAGAATTGCCTGAACCCAGGAGGCGGAGGTTGCGGTGAGCCGAGATCGCGCCATTGCACTCCAGCCTGGGTAACAAGAGCGAAACTCTGTCTCAAAAAAGAAAAAAAAAAAAAAGAAATATCTGATCAGGAAACACGGCATCAGCCACCCAGTTTCTAGAGGTTTCATAGCCAAGTTAGCTTCTATCCTTAGGCCAAAGGCAGGACGAGATCGTATTTGAAGTGCCAGTCAAGGGGTGGACACGAAGACCCCATAATCAACCTCAGAAGTGACTTCCAGCCTTGCCTTCCTTGGGCCAGAAGCTTGACATCAGCTGTCCCCAGGCCTGGAGGTCCTTGGCAGGGAGTTCAGGTCAAGGCCCAGCCCAGGAGGGTGGGGACTCCCGGCCCCAAGAGCAGAGGCTTCCTGGAGAGTGAGGAGGCCTCAGCTGGGGGACAGGGAGGGATTGAATTTCCAGGTGCTGTAAGCAGAGCCCCCCGGCCTACCTGCCGGCCCCCAGCCCAGGATCATCTTTCCCCTAAAGAGACGGGCTCCATCCAGGGATACCAAAGACAGCTGCCCTCCTACCCACCCCTCCGTCAGCCTGATCAGGCCCCATCTGCTGCCTGGCAGACCCCACGTCCTGTCCTCCCCGACTCACGGATTCCAGACAGGTCCTGTGGAAGAAACCGACCCCCTCTGTCTCCCCCTTCTTCCCCTGCCCAGAGATCATCCACCCCCACCCCATCCCACTGTCGGCCTAATCTGGCCCCATCTGCTGCTGGGAATGAAGGCCCTCTACTCTCCCACTTGCAGGTCCAGGGACACCCTCCTACACCATGTACACACACACACACACACACACACACACACACGAACTCCATGCCCAATCTCAGCTCCTGTTCCTGGACCTTAGCCATGCTCCTGTCCCACAGGTGAGATCAGAAGAGGGTATCTGGCCTAGGCCACAGGGCGGCAGCCCTTCATGCTCCCAGGGAGAAGCCTGCTCCTTCTGTCATCCCTCGCCTTGCCTCCTTATCCACCTCCCCAAAAGCATTCATTGCCCCCTTCCTCCAGCTCAGCACAGTTATCCCACGTGTTCCCAGAGCCAGGGGAAATGCAATCAGTGCTCATTAGCTGCTGCTTTGCATCTCATCTGCATAACATTCCGATGACTGCCAAAATGCCAGAATCCTCCCCAACCCCAGCCCACAATAGGCAGGGCTGGCCAGCTCTGGAGAAAGAATATGGAAAAGGCTTTAGTGGGATTCTGTGTAGGTGGCTAAGCATGTGGGGTGGGTACTTGGGAGGGGGAAGATCAGAGGGAGAAAATGTCCAGTGGCCCCAGCAGGCACCTGGAGGAGGAGGAACAAATATTAATCCTCGCTGAGCCCCTGCTACATGTAGGCACTGTGCATGATGTTCTATATTGTATCCACTGTTTTTTGGTTTTTTTACAATGCGCCACTTTATAGGTGTGGAAACTGAGGTTCCAAGGAGTTAAGGCCTCACTTTCCAAGGCCCAGCAGCTTGGGGACCACCTAGAAGCTGCTCAGAAATGTGGAATTTTCAGGTCCCACCCCAAACTTCCCGCATCAGGATCTGCATTTTCACACAATCCCAGGTGATTGGGGTGTGAGACTCCGAAGTTAAGGGGCTAGCCCTATACTGCAATACACAGAATGGAAGATGATGCTGGTGTCAATATGAGGTGTCTGACTAAATCCTGTGCTAGTTTCTTTGTGCATTTAACGAGCATTTCCCGAATGCAACTCTGTGCAGCGCTGCTCTAGGGTGGACCGCAGCAGACAGACAGACAACATCCATGACCTCAGGGAGATTTCATGCCAAAGGGAGACACACGATAAATAAAATAAATATGTTCGGCCGCACATGGTGGCTCACACCTGTAATCCCAGCACTTTGGGAAGCCAAGGCGGGTGGATCACAAGTCAAGAGATCAAGACCATCCTGGCCAACATGGTGAAACCTCGTCTCTAATAAAAACACAAAAATTAGCTGGACATGGTGATGCGCACCTGTAGTCCCAGCTACTCGAGAGGCTGAGGCAGGAGAATCATTGGAAATGCGGAATTTCAGGTCCCACCCCGGACTTCCCGCATCGGAATCTGCATTTTCACATGATCCGGGAGGCGGAGGTTGCAGTGAGCCAAGATCACACCACTGCACTCCAGCCTAGCGACAGAGCAAGACTATATCTCAAAAAATAATAATAAAAGTTCAAACGATGACATGATGAGTGGTGCTATCAAGAAAAATAATGTGGGTTAAGAGAGTATGAGGCAGGAACATTTTATAATCTCCCTTTGAAGAGATGACATTTGAATAGAGACCTAAATAAAGGGAGAAAGGAAGGTAGGTAACGTGGTGATTTGAAGGAAGAGCGTTTCTGGCAGAGGGAACGGCAAGGGCAAATGTCTGGAGGTGGGAGTCAGCTGAGCACACTGAGAGCAGCCCACAGTTGAATGTGTAGATGGGTGGATGGGAGGGCGGATGAATGGATGGTAGGTAGAGCAAGCCAGACAGAGAGACGTGGCAAACAAGATAGTGATAAAGAAGAGGCAGGCAGGGGCTGGCTCATGGTGAGGACTCTGAACTTTATTCTAAATAGGAAGGGAAGCCATTGGTGTTTTTTTTTTTTTTTTTTTTTGAGACTGAGTTTCGCCCTTGTTACCCAGGCTGGAGTGCAATGGCGCGATCTCGGCTCACCGCAACCTCCGCCTCCCGGGTTCAGGCAATTCTCCTGC